TAGGCGACATAATGCATGTGACCCCACTGCTTCAAATACAATATATTTAAATTTTAAAAAATAAATAAAAATAATATGCAAAACTCTGTACTTTAATACTATGTAACACTTTGAAATTGGAGTTGCAGAATATATTTACCATAACCTCCCAAAGTCAGTCCTTTATATTATATTCTCATAAAATTGTGCTTCTTGGTTGTCTGTAAAGTAAATCCTGTCCATCTTTTTTAATTTGAAATATTTCAACAACAAAATTTCCTGATGAAATTTAGTTACATTTGCTTGGTCATTAATTCTTGGGATTGGTAAAAAATTCTACCTATTTATTTTAATTGTTAACATGTTTTATGAATTTTTACATTCTGTTTCAAATTAGTTTTGTGAAAAGTAACCATTGCTTTAATAGTTTTTCATGTGTCAAAGTGGAATGATGACCAAGTTTTAAAATAGTAAAACAAACTATAATTATTTGCAAAAATGTTAACAAAAAAACCCATTACAACATTAATACTGACAGAAGTAATATTGAAAAAACAAACTTGAATTCAATTTTTTCAAGGTAACTTATAGGCACTTTCCTAATAAACTATTCTTTATATCAATATTTAAACTTCAAATTCACTATTTATTTGCATGGTGCAGACATAAAATGCTAATAATATTTTAAACAACAAGAGGGATACAGTGAAAGGACTGCTTTAATTTCTAAATTACTTTCTTACAGGGATAAATCCTGTATCCAAATGGTAAATACTTTGCCTACTTATAAGTTAATTAGAATTTTTATTCAAGGCAATTATCACTCCTAAACTCCATAAGATGTATAGCATGTCCAGTATTCTACAAATAAAAAAACACAATACTTTGGTATTTTAAAAGGAGCCCTGGTATATTGTATCAACAAGCTAAAGTATTAATTACAGTCAGATGTTCGTAATTAAAATATCTAACATTTATAAGCTTATTGGTTACTTACCTATAGGGAAAATCTGCAAATACAGTTTTAAAAAATTGTTATGTGGAATAATGTCAAAATGCATATTAAACAGTACATATCACATTTAAATCTCTTTCTATACAAATATAATTTTGTATGAAGTGTTCTACTGTCTATGGCACCATACTGACAGCAAACTACGCTAATAATCAGGATTTTTTGTTCTCTGAACATAGCCATTATCTCTACAAGCTATGACAAGTATACTACCTATTATGCTAGAGGATGAGCAATAAAAATGTCATGGCAACATTTAGTTAATGTAAATGTAAGGCTTAAAATAAAAGTCATACAAATTGCACCCTGGTTATCAAAAATACTCTGATGTACTTTTTTTTAGAACTGGGTGTTATGGAGCTTCAACATGAGTTTCTACAACGTAGGGCTAATGTTTAACAAACACCTTATTCAATCAGTTTTGGGGGAGAAGAGATATATTTATCTATGTGCTTCCACTGCTGCAATCTGCTGTTGTCTGAAAGTCCCTTTCCTAAATCTTCTGCTTCCAGTTCTTTTGGTTTACAGAGAACTAAAAGAGAATTACCTATGGAAGCTGTTGTAACAACAGATGCAATGTAGCTTAAAGTAATATAAGTACTTGTATCACTTCACTTCACCCCCACCTAAAAATATAAGTGAAAATAAAAATCTTTCAGTTTTTTTTTTTTTTTGTGGAGAAACACATGTCAACTATAGAATACAAATCAGTTAAATTAAGACAGGACTGTTGCCAACCTATAAAAATGACCCAGTAAGCAGTGTGCAGCACTTTAAAAATCAAATGTGTGTTTACAGTGGGATTAAACAATGTCAGATATCAGATAGAGAAAATATCCAAGAGCAGGCCATGTTTGCTTTGACTGGTGTCTTAAATTGCATTGAAATATTTATGAAGTCACACTCAGCCTCAAATACTGACATGCCTTGCAATGTATATTTCTAGTGACATTGTACAATATTTTCTGTAACTTGAAGTTTCATTTTGGAATGTAATGTAGGAAATAACTAAACTATGTCAATGATATTGCAAAGTGCTCCCATTTATAATTATTTATATTGTAAATAGCTTTCTGATGTCAATTTCAAGTTCATTGTGAATAATATGTATTTATTATGTGAAAATTTTTTTCTTTTGCTTTGAAATACAGTTAAAATCTTATTTAGAGTGGATTTGCGTTTTTTGTTTGAAAACTTTTTAAAAAAAATAATATCACATATACAGCATCTAAAATATTTTAGTGTAGTACTTTCCATCCTACTTTCAATATAGCTTATGATTCTGAGATATTATAACAAGGTAATGTCATGATCTACCAATCCCACATGCTACTTGACTATGGTTTGGATATGGGAAGCAAGTTATCAGTGACTAAATGTGAATTGATTTGTAGCATATGCTCGATGTGCACTGGTGGAATTATTTGTACCAGATAACCAGGCTCTATTCAGTTATAAGGCTTCCCACCAGTTTAGTTTGATAAAGCATAATATAAATCTTCTGAAAAAGGGTCAAACGACTTCTAAAGCTAATAACTGATTTGTTATAAACAGCATACAGGTGCGAAATGTTTTTAGCATGTCCATGGCTACCTATGGAGTCTAGAGCCCTAGGTAGGCGTCCATTCTACTCTTAATATAATACACCGCTAACCATATCAGTCCAAAGTTTTTCCAGTGTACTTGTGAACATATTTTTTTTCACTATCCATAAAAGCAAGCATACTAAAAGTTATAGAAAATATTTCAACATGAATAAGACCTTTCCCTTAATATTTATTTTGCATAAGCTTTAAAGCCCTTGTTTTATCTATCTATCTATCTATCTATCTATCTATCTATCTATCTATCTATCTATCTGTTGATATTTTTCTTTAGAGTACAGGCTGCTATCAGAATTGTTTCCTTGATCTATAAATAGGATTATTCATCAAAATGATTGCTCTATTTACTTGCTTAATAAAAAATGCCACATTTAGTTTTGACAGCTTTATGATGGGGGCATTTATTGCATGGCTGAAATGGGTTCCTGTGGTATATCAATTTCTATAAAAAGCAGTAAAATGCTTTTAATGAAAGTAAAAAAGAAGGGCAGATTAGAACTCTGATCAGCAATATGTAGCCAAACAGAGAAATAGCTATTTCATTGTGTATTGATTTTTAACCTCTGGAGAAATAGATAGCACCAATTTAGTTTAAGGGAAAAATAAATCAAACAAAGAAAGTACCATCAGAAGTGTTAAAAAATACAGCACCAGCATATCATCATACAATTCACTGCATTAACATTTTTTTTCAAACTGGTATGGTCTTTTAGAGTAGTGCCACTGCAACCTGTTTACTTTGGAATACATGTGTTTTCTGTTTTTCACAGACTCATATAAAGGCTTACGGCCATTAATATTATATTATCTATAATACAGACACTCATATGATAAAAAGGACAACTTCAAACCATTTGCCAGAGCTCTGTCCATAGACCATAACCCTTATCGAAGGCAAGCCCTCATAGGCTTATTATTATGAGTTATAAAATGCAAAAAAACCTTCAAGTGCTAGAAAGGAAATATTGAACCAATATACTATATATTCCAGCTGTTACCAGGCTAGAAATAAAAAAATCTCTTTTTGTTTCCTGGCAAAACATTTCCTGTGTAAATAATTTTTTCTTTTCAAAAAGATTATCTATTAATTGCACATTATATTTCTTGCAGTTTTGGCAAGTAAAACACTTTTTAGGTACCAATAAAAAAATAAATGGCAATGATACCATCTTATCATGTTGCTGTTGAAAAAGCACTTGTGTTTTTTGTGCATAACTATTTTCCTGACTAACGCCATGCAGCAACAATAGGCAGCCCCCCCCCCATTGCTAACCCCCTAGGACCATTTACTAATTAACACTCTGTCTGCACCCCCATGTTCCTCTTTTATCCTCTCCTCCTTGTAGGACCCAGGTGCAGTACTGCTCCTACCTAGTTGCTTTCACATATACTACTTGAAAGCATTTTCCAAGGAATTCCCATTCATGGCTGACCATAGGTAAGGCTTTAGTGATGATGGCTGTGCTTTTTCATCAGCCCTGCTAATTGCGGGAATTAGGAAGGAAGGTGACGACCACCATTCTGTTCTGTGACCCATGCTCCATTCTGGCATTTGCACAATTGGAGATGGGCAGGATGTGGTGATGCTGTGGGGCATTCATGAATTCCACTCCTATTCATTCATAATATCTGTGCATTACTGGATGCCAGAATGGAAGTGCAGACATCACATCTGGCCACACAGGGGAGTAGAAACAGAGCCAGTGACTTTTTAAAAAACACTGGCATGCACAGGTATGAGGGATGCCTTCATTTCTGTACTACCAGATGCATGTTCTTCCCTCCACCATGTACTGTGTCCTATATTAAATGCTTCTTATGGATCCTGTGGCATCTTCCTTATTGTTGTAATATATTTCCACAGCCTACTGCTTTTCCTGTAATGGGCATGTAGCCTCCCTCTAGTATCCAGTCAGTTCAAAAAAGGTATAGGTTAGCATACACTTCAGCTTTTCTTGTGGTTGTGACGAACACGGTGCCCGACCTCTGCCTTTCTCACCAACTCATGAGAAAGGACCAACCAATCTCACACTGTGCTGTCACTTGCAATACAACGTCACCCTCAGCTGCACCCTGCTCATGAGACCACAATCTATATGCCCGCAGTCTGAGAGCGATTGTCCCTGGTTTAGTTAATTAAGCATTTAACCCTTTAAACTGCCACAACCGCTTTTTTTTTACCAAGAAGGAGGAAACTCACAATCTTAGCAATAACATTATGATTTTAGCATGTCTGCAACACATACTGTCACCACAGACAGGTATATTTAGAGGCATGTTCAGAGGATTATTATCAGTAGGACTCTTCAAGAGACAGGGATAGGCATTAACCGCCTCTCGCCCACCATATAGTACAATGACAGGCGCAAAGCCGTTCTCTTGTTCTGGGAGGACGTCATATGACGTCCTCCCATTCTCACCGCGCATGCGCAGCTCTGGGAGCACGCAGCGTAGCGATCGGCTGTGCACTGTGTCCCTTGTACACAGCGGATCACCGATCCACGGAAAGAGACGAAGATTTTGGCTTGGTAATGTGATCAGCTGTGTCCAATCACAGCTGATCACATGTAAACAGGGAAAAATGCCAGCTATCAGGGCCGCCTATCAGTACCATATATGAGTGCTGCCTTTCAGTGCCCATCAGTGATGCCTGTCGATGCCCATCAGTGCCACCTACCAGTGCCTCCTCATCAGTGCCCATCAGTGCCACCTATCAGTGCCACCTATCAGTGTCCATCAGTGCAGCCTATCAGTACCCATCACTACAGCCTCATTAGCACACATCAGTGAAGGAGAAAAATCACTTATTTACAAAATTTTATAACAAAAACTAAGAAACAACTTTTTTTTTTCAAAATTTTCAGTGGCTTTTATGTTGGTTTAAGAAAAAATAAAAAACCCAGAGGTGATACCACCAAAATAAAACTCTATCTGTCACAAGAAAATTCTGAAAATGTCATATGGGTACAGTGTTGCATGACCGCGCAATTATCATTCAAAGTGTGACAGCGTTGAAAGCTGGAAATTGGCCTGGGCAGGCAGGGGGTATAAGCGCCCTGTAGGCTAGTGGTTAAAAGCCTTAGAGATAGTTTTAATACTTTTCAAAATAGGGTTTATTAACCAGTTCCACGCTGTTCTATAGCAGAAATACTGCTAAAGGGCAGAACAGGTATGCAAAATCACATATATATACGTGATTTTTTTCAGTTCCAGGTAGGGCCACGCGCCCTACTCGTGCTGCAATTTGATTCCTCGGCTGTCAATCACCGGGTCCTGGTGCTCAGATTACTCACCGGCACCCAGTGATCGCTGAGTATCTCTGATGTGGGAGAGACCTGTATGTAAACAATACAGATATCTCCCCTGTCAGCTCCTGCACACTGTTTTGTATGGCTCTGCATAGAAGAGCAATACAAAGCAGTGTGCTTACAGTGAAGCACACACACAGCCCCCATAGTGAAACAGCACACAGTTAACCCTTTGATCACCCCAGATGTTAACCCCTTCGATGTTAACCCTTTCAAAAAAAATGTATTCCAGTATATATACCAACATTTGTAAACACTGTAACTTTCACATAAACCAATTCATTTACACAGATTTTTTTAAGCAAAGACATATAGCAGAATACATTTTGGCCTAAATTTATTTTGAAGTTTGATTTTTAAAATTTTTTTACTGGACATATTTAATAGCAAAAAGTCAAAAATATAGTTTTTTTTCTCAAAATTGTTGATTTTTTTTATTTATAGCGCAAAAAAAAATAAAAAAACCCACAAGCGATCAAATACCACCAAAAGAAAGCTCTGTTTGTGGGAAGAAAAGGACATAAATGTCATTGTAAGTTAAAGTAATTCAGTGCCGTATTGCAAAAAATGGCCTGGTCAGGAAGGGGGGTAAATCTTCTGGAGAGCAAGTGGTTAATGAAAAGGTCAAATGGTGCAATTAAAAATATTTACAGAAAAGATGTTACGAAGACATAAAGAGAACAGTAACGCAACAGAGGAATAAAGAGAGGTGAAAACTGAGAATACTTGCAAAGTCCTGTTGTCCAAGCAAAAATGTTGCCGTGGCTCTCAAGTCCGTTAAGATGTTCCTTGCTTGATGTCAAACGAAAGCTTTCTTACCAGCTCCTATCATTTCCTTTTCTGTGATATTAAAGGAGTGTCGCCTGAGAACAACTGACCAATCATCCGGTTTAAGGGATGGGTGCTGGGAGGTCACCACGTTTATGACTAAATCCCAACTACAATTTCATACTAATATTAATAAATTCCAATACGTGCAGGTGGTATTCTAGAAACTGACAGAATATTATTCAAAATTATATTTCGAACCCCTTTCGTATATGTGCTAGGGTAGTCATGTGTGACCTTGATTTATTTGGTATGATATTCCCTATTCAAATATATACCTAATATTAATGTGTCCTGTTCCTGTTGAATTTTATGAATTGTACGTGGAATTGTTAAGTTGTGGAATAGATGTTTTATGGCACGCTCTGCGTTCCTAAAGCCTTAATGGCCTTACATGTCATGTGTGACAGGCTTGACTGAGTTATTATTGTTTTACGATAGGTCAGAGGGAAGAGTTTTTCATGGTTCATGGAAACAGACATCCTGCCAAGACTAATTAGCTGTTTACAGCTCTGACTAGGTCTGAATGCTGGCGTCTATTGTGTTTTAGCTGAGATAAGAGGCTCATTTGAAGTTTGTTAAAAATTACAGCAACACATTTTGCAGTTTTCAGGTGGAGGGAGGGGAGGAAGATGGCTGTCGCATACAGCTTCCATGTCCCTATTGCGCACAATCATTATAGTTGTAAGGTATGTACGTATTTTAGTGTTTAGGACGTACTTTGTGTAGCCCTATCAGATTAAGACACAGCTCTAAAAAGAGAACTCCTTCATCACACAGTTCTAGCTAAAGTCATCATTATATATCAACTTATTTTTAATCTTCATTATTCACAACCCAATGCCTGCTGGGCTTGTGGCAACCTTGCTGCTCATGGAAAAACATTTTGTGAATCCTGTAAAACAGATGTGGTGAAGGATGAAGAAAAAGACAACTTGTATGTAGTTGATTTAAATAAGCCAATAGTTCATGATTCCTTGAAAGATTTGAGGCAAAGGAATGGTCGGCAAGTACATACCCTACACTAACCACTAAGCATATGCATTCAATGCAGATTAAAATTTTTGTGGCTAATTCTGAGGATGAATCTCAGGAAGTAGAGGATGATGAGATAATAGGATCTGATTTTTAAAAAGTCACCTCATTTATTAGAGCAGTCAAGGGAGCCCTAATTGGGAGGGCCCAGTGAAGTCTGCAGGGAAATGGATAAAAATAATTGTATCTTTTCCCTGATGGATTAAGTTAAAGATTTTTGTTTTCAGAAGAGTGTAAAAAAGTGGAAAGAAAGTATTTCCTGGACAATCAAATCGCAAAACTATACAAATGTTAACCCCTTGATGCCGATGTCACACAAATATGCAGCCTCATAGAACTGGGCTTTTTTCCGTGGGGCCGCATATTTGTGTACCTGTCTTTGTGCTGGGAGCCTGCTGCACAGCGTGCTCCCAGCACAAAGACCGGGGTGTCACTGAGAGCCCCTGGTCCTGTTCTAACGATCGGGACCCGGGACTCATGTTTCTGGGTCTCATGATCATTGTGACAGCCTCTGATTGGCTATCTCCATGATCAGTCACTGTGAAGCCCTCCCCTTTGGTTTTTTTTTCTCTCTGAGTGGAGGAGAGAGATACATTGTATTTCTCTCTCTACTTGCAGAGAGAGAAAAAAAAAACTGTTTGTAAAAAAAAAAAGATAAATAAATAAATATAAAAAAATAAAATAAAGAAAAAATACCTATATCAAAGTTTGATCTAGTTCAGTGTCAGGGTTAGTGTTTGGGACAAGGTCAGGGTCATAAGGTCAGTTTCAGAGGTCAGGATTTTTTTTTTTTATTGGTATCAGTGTCAGTTAGTGTCAGTGTGTTTTAGGTAAAAAAAAACAAAAAAAAACTGCTCACTATTGTTTCTGGGCTGTAGTACAGGTAAAAACAACAAATAACATACACATATATGGTATTGCTACAATTGTCAACAGCTGAAAAATTTTTTTTGGGTTGTTCTTTGGTGGTAGGTTATGGTAGTAACAAGAAACACTCAGCTAAATTTAAAAAAAAAAATCTTCTACTATTTTGGGACAGTTTTTCCTAGATAATAAAAAAATCATTACCATTTACCACAAAATGAAAGCCCAATTTGTCCTGAAAAAAACAATGGATAATTCACCTGGATGTACAAAGTAGTTGTGATGATATGTACGGTTTTACTAACACATGTCAAAGTTGTAAAATTTTACGTAGGCTTTAAGATTTGTTTTACCCTTAGGCGTGAAGAGGTTAAGAAAGATGTAAAGAATTTAGATTTGTTGCCCCTTGTCAACACAACCCCAATGAGACTAGTTTGACAAATACCTCTCCCTTAGAGGACACGGTAGTTTAATTTAGGAATGACCTGAATGGAAGAATCAACCATGATTTAAGGAAGCACTACTTCTCTTTAGGGGCAGAGTATAAAATGGCCATGGCCCTAACATCAGTGACAAAGGCACTGGAGGTTTGCTCAGAAGACCTTGGGGTTGATTTACTAAAGGCAAAAATACTGTTCATTTTGCAAAGGAAGTTGCACTGTGCGAAATAGTTTTCCCACAAAGCTTAGTAAGGTAAATGAAGTTCTGCTGACTTCCATTATCCAATCATATGCAAGCAAAAATGCTTTTTTTTGTATTCCTTGCAAACTGAAATGTCATCACATTCACTAAGCTCTTGAGAAAAGTCCCCTGAAAAGTGCAAATTCCCTTGCAAATCAGCTCCCTTGAATCGGCTGTCAACAGTGATGACAGTAAATCTGACATTTTGACAATTCTCCATAAAATCAAGCAAGCCTCCTCTATTTTTGTGGGTGATTGATATTATATAAATGTTTGCTGGGACCATGCTATGCACAAAACATATGCTCTGGTTTAAGCTGAACCTGTTTACCAACAAGCATGGCACAGGATCCTCCTTGAAAGTCAACCTGTCTTTGTGAACAAGCTGGATAATACTATATACAAGGCTACAGGGGGAAAAATTGGGTTATTGTACCAAGACAGACATATCCCAAGTCCACAGTTAAGACAAGAACCAATACAGAGTTAGAAATGCATGGGCCTATAGGCCTGGGAAAGAATATCACAAGAACTGGAGAAATTCACAATCTTCTTTTTCTAAAGCTTCCAAGTAGCAAAGTCCTTTTGAAGGTGTTTCTGCTCAAAATAGTCTGGTGGGGGCAACCTTCAAGCAGATTTGGGTAAAATAATTTCAGAATGATGTCAGTGCACCACTCCTGGAAGTTCAGCACTCTGCCAAGACTTGGGTTCATTTCAAACAAAATCTCCCCTTCTCAAAGGAAGCAAATATGTCAAAAACCTAATATTCCAGTGAGCAGTTTCTAAAGAGCAGAGGTTCAAAGGAATGTACTCTCCACTATTCATGGTCAAGACAGTCATCGACTTAAAAGTCTTGAACAAATATATAGTAAACAATATTTCTACAATCTCTATGATCAATTCAGCAACACAGTTTCGCTCTCAGAAAAAAAATTCTGATAGCGCAGTCAGGTAGAAGTAGCTCTAGCAAGCTCCTACCTGTCAGTGACAGTGAAACAGTGGGGGAGATTTACTAAAACAGGTGCAGACAGAAATTTGTGCAACTGTGCATAGTAACCAATCAGCTTCTAACTTCACCTTGTTCAATTAATATTATTTTATTATTATTATACAGGATTTATATAGCGCCAACATATTGCTCTGCG